CTTTGGACGTGGTTTGGCCATTATTCGACGTGCAGCTCTTATTGGCCGAGCAATTTTAGGACGGGCCATCGGTCGGCGATATCTGTGCTGTATCTCAGGGCGTTGATCATCCGTCACGGACACGCGCCGCCCCCGACGCGGATCAGTAAACCGCCGTTGTGGTTGTCGGTGGCGAGAGGTGTTGTGCAGGAGTATCGGGCTATCCTGAGTGTTTCGACAAAGTTTCCCAAGGCTGGTGAGAGGAATACAAAGGTGGAAGAGTTTGTGGATCTTTGCGTTGGCATCTGGGAGGCGAGTGGCGTAGTTGGAGAATATGCTGGTTGGGTTTTGGATGTAAGGAATGGTTGAAGATTCGGTATCATGTACTGACTTGCGCGCGCGTCTAGGTCTTATGGTGGGCGACGCGGATGACGTTCAACTCTTACCGGATACTTCGACACATGACGAGGCTTCTACACGTATCTGGGGACATCAACCTGGCCAAACGCACGCTTCGCTTGTATGTGCAAGTGGTCTCCAAGGCATGGCAGGCTGGTGATGCCGGTGTCGGTGTCGATGCAGACACGGACCAGAAGTGGGTGGAGACACTCGTGTATGGAATACGCTTGTTGTGCAGGAACGCGTCTTCTTTGAGTGGATTGGATGGTATCGAGGATGTGAGGGAGGCGGAGAGTTTGATTGAAAAGGCTCACTCGCGCTTGGACAAGGAAAACAAAGTGCTCAGTGCGAGTCTTTTGTTGGCAGAGGGCATCTGCCAATCGGTTTATGCCTTGAAACGTCAGTTGACTCTTGTGCGTTCAATATCTGTATACTCATTTTTACGAACAGAACAAGATCCACATTTGCGCGGCCCACGACTCGTTGAAGCTCATGCGCTTATCCAACGTTCAATTGATACACATCCGACCGCGTCTGCATATTATCACCTCGCACTGTCTTTTGCTCGGTCCGGGAAACAGCAGGATATGCAGCAAGCCATTGTCAACGCTGGTCTGGCTGTGGAACACGACTCGAAAGATATACGATACTGGCATTTACTGGGTCTGTTATCAGCCGCGACGGAGGAGTGGGAAGCTGCACAGATTACATTGGAGACGGCAGTGTCTATGGAGCAAGTGCCGGGTGATAATGGTCTTCCTGACGGCGCGGTGTTATTGAACGTACCACATACAAACGGTCGCGCACCGATTGATGGACTCCCTCCGACGGGCAATGGTCATTTGAACGGGTCGGACGAGGTGTCGCTTGTGTATCTTCTAGGAAAGGACGAGAAAAGTATACCGCCGGCTGCGGATTTGCTCCGTCCAGCACAGGACCAGGTGTACCCATCGCAGTCGCAAAGGTTTGAGGAGGCGCTGCAGTTGAGGATGACGCAGATTGCGTTGGCGGAGATGGTGGAGGGGGCGGAAGGGGCGGCTGAGAAGTTGCCGGAGATCTTTACGTGGATTGCGGATCGGAAGGGGACGTCGTCCCAGACCCAGACTGGTAGGTCCTTTGCTTATTTGCTTATTCAAGGACGCTCATCCAGTCTCAAGCACGGAGCTCTTTGGATGGCGGCCGTGCGCCGACCATGGAACTCAAGTCGCCTTCGGAGCTTGTACTTCCGCCTCCTGTTATCCATGAAATTCCGGAAGAACCAGACGAACGACGGTATTCACTGGCTACGCCCATGTCGCCCTCGATAGCTACCGGATCGGCTGATTTGTTGCCTGTGCCACCTATGTCGATAACTATATCTCCTGCGACTCCGGATGAACAGGCGAGTGTGGAGGAGAGACAAAAGGGGAGGGATAGTAAGGATAGCGAGAGGGATCGGGAAAGGACGCTTAAGCGGCAGCCGCAAGATACGCCTGACCGGGACGCGTCGACTTCGAAGAAGGTGCAGCAGATGCTGAAGAGCCAGGTGCACAAGAGTGGTGCGCGGATTAGCACGATATCGAAGAAGATTGGGAACGGTGTGGTGAGGAATGGGAGTTTGAAGAGGTCGAATTCTACACCAGGTGAGGAGGTCCAGCAAATTTCCGTGTTTTCTTACTCATGTGATGATGGCCAAGACTTTCATGCTGTGCTGCGAAACACGTCCTATCAGGCGTCGTCTATACATTCTCGGACACGGCTGAGCTCGCTCATCAAGCCTGCGGATTCGGTCGTCAGCGAGTCGCCGCCTCCGCCGCCGAGCGCGATACTTGCCCCGCAGACGCGGCTGAACCAGCGCACCGCGCGGGAGACGCGGCTGTTGAGCGATGTGTGGCTGATGTCTGCTGCGACGTTCCGGCGTCTCGGGAAGATTGAGCAGGCCAAGGGCGCGATACAGGAGGCTGAGGTGCGGGATGAGAGCAATCCGGGGGTATGGGTGCAGGTGAGGCGACACTCCTTTCTTTCCGTCTGTCGCCCTAAAACTAAAACTGGTTTTTGAAAGCTGGGTCTGTATCATGTGGCGCTGGGGCACCGGCAGGAGGCGCTCGACGCGTTCCAAAAGGCGCTGTTCATCGCGCCGGACAATGTGCCGGCGACGGTGCACATGTGCGGGCTGTACCTGTCTGCGCCCGGGTCGGCGGACAGCGACAGCGTGGACCTTGCGGCGGGGATGCTGGGGCATCTGACGCGCGGCGCGGGGTGGGATGTGCCCGAGGCGTGGTACTATTTGGCCAAGGCGTATGCGGCGCAGGGCCGGCATCCGCAGGAGCGGGAGAGTCTGAGTTTGGCGCTGGCGTTGTCGGAGAGCCGGGGGGTGAGGGAGATTGGGGCGGCGTTGGGGTGGTGTTTGTGATTTTTTTTGCTTTTTATATACCCCCGGATCATTTATGGTGTGTTTTATGATATAATACTTAGTTGGGGTGTAATGGTTTTTGTTCGTGGACACTGGACAGTGATTTTTGTTGCCACGTGATCGAGACTGGTTTTGGGCCTGGCGAAGAGAACGCGTTGTCTTCGCGTGGAATGCAGCGTGAAAGCGAGCTTTGAACGGCGAGGCCGATAAGGGCGTGTGGAAAAGCAGCTTTGTGATTGAAATGCGCATCACACAGAGATACATAGACCGATTCCCAGAGCGTCAAATTTTGGGCACGAGTCAACCATCCACGGCATAGCAGCCCCATTGGTATACGCATAATACACGCCTGTACATATTTCCAGGAGGAACTAAAGAGAAATGAAGGGAGTGCTCGATGCTCGCGGTGCTTGCACAAGTTACATAGAAGGTTGAGTCTGCAACTTGCTTAAGTATGCAGTAACTGAATAAACAATAATTTATATTGCAGAAATAAAATGGGTACAGGTCAAGAAGAATGGCATCCTAGCGATTGGTTTGGTAGGTTCGGAGCAAGCCCTTGCTTCGGGCCCGGGAACCGGGGCACCTCGCAGAGGGGCTTGCTTCAAGATGATCGGAATCATACCTCATGTTTCTGGCACTGTACAGGCCTCAATTTTAGATGAATTGCCTTACTTCAAAGTTGTATTCTCTTCATAAGATACTCATGAAGCATTGTGTAAAATTTATTTGAAGCCAACGGGCAAGAAAAAATAGCTAGTTGCCCGCCAATCCGTGTCACATGCCTAATTGATGGAATCTACATTGAAGGTATCCAATTAGTACAACAGGTCTGGAGGTCTCTCTGGGAGGCTGGAAAGTCTAATTATCATCTCATAAATGTGCAGACAGAAATCCAGCAGCTAGGTTTCAATGTGGAACAAAGCACAGATATTTTGACTGTGTTCTCACGGAAATGTCACACTGTGACACCTGCTCATCGACGCGTCGTGGCTTGCCGTGTCTTGCTCTGGCTCTCAATGAGCCCATTCACATATGTGTAAGACATAAATCACTTGTATCTACTGCCTGGCAGTTTCCCAGAGTGCTCTGAACATGTTGAGTCGAACACTCTGTAGTAGAGTAGGTGCGCGTAATAGGGTCCGAGATGTCCGCGACGCGAGTTTAATCACCTCGTCGAGATGGCTGTACAGATTGGATGCCCCTTAGCTTTGGTATACTGGCGGCCTAAGCATGGTAGATGATGGCTCCAACTTGGCAAGTGTATCCTGTACCTAGTTCTTGAATACTGGCTTGTACAACATGCTCAGGTGAATTTAGACATTTTCACCACAATGTCAGACGTGATTTAAAAGCCCTAGCATTGACGATGAGAAATCTGAGTAGAGCAAACTATTACTCTACATCGAAAGATCATTTTCGTTCCCTAGAGGCAGTGGGAACAACCGAGCACTGAGGCGGTAGACGCGGAATAGATGCCCTATGGTTTGACCCATCTTGCAGCAAGCCCCTTCAGGAAGTAGGTGCTCGCCAAATAATGCCAAACAAAATAGATACAAACAGCACCGACCAATCAGATCATGAAGGGGCTTGAACCGAACCTATTGGTTTGGTTGTTGTTGGGTTGGTTTGATTTGGTTTGATTTGGTTTGGTTTGGTTTGGTTTGGTTTGGTGTAAAGGTTGCCAAGTGGCTGAGCAGAACCCTAGACCAGGTCGGGCAACTCGGCGTGGGTCACGGATGATCTGTGAGTCTCAGCCCAATCGCTGGGATGTCATTCTTCTTCTTCTCAGCCCTGATAAATAAGTAGGAAAATATAAGTTAACCGGAAGAGAAACCTAACCAGACCGCCTCTAGTATATAATACCAGAGGTCCCCCCATCGCGAGTGACAGGGAAGGAACAGCCCGTTCGTCGACAACTGCTGTAGTTGGCAGCCATCGTTGGAGTTATCAGCACATCAGCAGGTGAAAGTTGCCTCCACATAGGGTTTGAAGGTTAGGTTAGGTTACGGTTAGACCCCCTCAGTCAGGTCTAACCGTAACAGTAACCATAACCAAGTACGCTAATGTCTGTTAACCGTAACTGTAACCACTGATAACTGTCATTAACCGCTAACCGGTTATTTTTCCGGTTAGGTTAGCGGTTATAACTGGTTATAACCGCTTTTCCGGTTTAACCGGTTATAACCGGTTAACAACCGGTTTAACCGATCATACTTCACTCAAAAAGGGCAGCAGGAGGGTTTGAACGCCCGCATACCGCACATATTAGTTAGAAGTATGACTCATTACCAACTGGGCCACCGCCGCCGCAGAATCTCATACTTGAGATGGTTTTTATTCTCAATGCACTCAAACTCAACTTGGAAAAAAAAAAGAGTAATCCAAGTCTTAATGATTACTCTATCTCGTGCTGAATATTCATGCATAATTAACCAACACAATAAATGATTAACATACGGCATGAAATAACTACATGATCTTGGGGAAATACTTCAAACTGTCCATCCACCGAGTAGAGTGGTCGCGCTCCGCCTGCTCCAAGATCTCGTCCGACGCCTCATGTTCAAAAGCCAACTTGGTGCGGAATCCATGGTACACCCAGCGGAAAAGTCCTCCTGGAGAATACTGCGTGATTGAGTAGCGCGTCTCTCCTTGCGCAAGAGGCAGATTCCAGTGGGTAACGATGGCGGAGGGAATGAAAATGGAGGTTCCTGCTGGAAAGTCAATTACCAGCTTGAACTCATCGAGAACAAGCTGTGCGCTGCGATTGGGATCAAATAACCCAAACGGAGACACAGGGCACCATCCAGGGGGCCTATTGGCACGATCACGATGAGGGATGGTGACGGTGCGTGGCCCCACATTCACCGTAATGAGGGAGAACACCGAATTCACGAAGTTGCGGCGCAGCGTGTGATCCCGCTTGGTGACTGCATCCAAGGTGTCCGCATAGGAGTGGTACATCAAGGGATTATGAGTGCGAAAGAGGCCTGGAAGACAATCAGGGATAATAGAAAAAAGGAAGAAATGATTAACGGACAGTTAATCCAACCGGAAAGACGTTGTACCAGAGGGTGCGCAATGAAGTCGTCCATGAAGGACCGCACTGACTTGCTGCATGCTCGATTCACAGGATACTAAGAGGGAAAGTCAGCCTTCATAAGAAAATGATTAACAGAAAGAAAGAACTTACTTCCTCTCCTCCTCCGTAGCCCACCCCACTAGCGGGGGCGGGAAAGCGTCCACGACGATGGACGCACATCTTCTTAGGAAACCTGACTCCTCGCTTGCGCGCTTCAATAAAGCGCGGAATGCCCTGCACCACCTCATTCCAGGACTCGCCACGCGGTTTACCCCCAGCAGTCCTAGTAAATGCCCCTCGCAATCAACCAAGGGCACACATGCACCCTCCTCCCACTGCTGCTTAGAGGGAACCCATTTAATGTGGCGGTACCCTCGGGCCACTAAATCCCCCAACTGGGAACGGCTTGGAGGAGGGGGCGTCTCGCGTCGCACAGCAAATCCTGACGAGTCGACGGGGGCATCATCAGATAGGCGATATTGGGTAAGTGGGATGGGTGACGCGCGCTCTCGGACGCGCTGCAGGGCGACAAGCTTGAGAGAGGTCTTGGACGCCGCCTCAGCGCGTTCAACGCGTCGTCGGTGTTTGGAGCGTCTCTTAGCAGAGTTGTCCTGCGAGGGAGGCGGTGTTTCTGGGGGTGACGCGTCGGTGCAGGATCTGGCGGCGCCGATGGCGTTAGGATGGATGATGTGGCGATGGGTGGAGATGGAGGCGATAGCGGGGGCGAAGAGGATGCTGCGGGGAGCTCATCCGAGAAGTCCCAAGCGGCATCTGGCAGCAGGTCGGCCTCAGACGCACCGTAGCGGTCGAGGGCGTCCGAGTTGTCGTCGCCCAAATCGTCGCTGTCGGCATCCTCCTCGGTGGCATCGCCGGCGTCCTCAAAGTCCTCTTGCTGCTGACGGAGCAGATCCGCCACCCGCACCGCTGGGCAGACCACCGGGGCATCCAGGACGAAAGGCGAAAATTCGTTGCCAGAGCGCAGAGTGCGCAACATCTACAGAAAATGTTCAGCATGGGCACTCCACATGAAAACAAATCAACACGGTCAAGAAAAAAGATGCGCCTTGCGGGGCAGCCACGTCCCAAGGTCGAGTCATGGCGCGCCGCCAGCGCATCTCCCAAGTCGCGTCTGTGTCCCGGTCATCCGCGTCCCAAGGTCAGGTCACGGAGAGCAGAATACACAGACAAAGACGAAGAACAAGGAGACAAAGAGAGAAGGCAGACTTACGAGGGCAGCACAACAGGATCAACAAGAACTCAGATGATGGTGGGATGAAGGCAAGAGTGCTAGATTACAGCAACAAATAGTATACAAACGAGGGCATGTGACTCAAACACGGTCATGTGAACAAAATCCTACTGTTTTTACCATCATAAATTTATGAATCTCTCATCAAAAAACTTTGGTATAAGTACACTGTAGGTATAAATACAACACTATATAAATCCTATACATACGCACTAAGCTACGAAGTCCCATAAAGTCTCAAGAAGCCAGCTAAATAAACGAATAACAGACAATTAAAGTCCAAGAAGAAAGAACCGGCAAAGTCACCCCCGCTTTCTCTTTTTTCCACCAGCTCCGCCGTTTGCCTTTTTGGCAGCACGCTCCCGCTGCTTCGCCAATCGCGCTACCTCCTTTTTCGCCACCTTCTCCTCCTCGGTATAACTTGCACGCAACCTAAAACTTATTAGCACTGAAATAAAAATGATTAACAGACTTACCTTTGCATTCCTCGCCTTGCGGATTCCTTTTGGGCGACATCTCGAGGGAGGCGTGTTTCACCTTTTCTCGGACGCCCTCTAGGGCGCAACGCCAGCTCCGGCGCATCCACGGTTGCAGGAGTTCGGCTCGGTCCCGCTACCGCCTGACGAGCGCGCTTGCGTGGGCGCTCATCCTCTTCCTCATCGTCGTTCTCCAGCTCGTCATGCTGGTCCTCATAGTCATCTGGGTCGGGAGGGGAAGTGTAGGCGGGTGAGAGAGCGGTGATGTTGGGGACAGGCAGCGTGGCACGCCGAGCAGCGCGTTGAGCGCGAAGTGAGGCTGCAGGCACGTTCGACCTGGGTGCGGGCACATTCGGCCTTCCTGGAGGAAGACCGGGGGGCCTCTGATCTTGGCAGGAGAACGCGGAGGAGGAGCAGGAGATGGAGACGGCGTTGGGGTAGCAGCAGGAAGAGGAGAGGGCGTTGGTGTGGGGATACTCGGCGGAGGACCATAGGAAGGCGACCGCGTTGGCATACGGGCAGGAGAAGCACTACGGCTTGGGGTCTGGAATTCCCAAGCACCTGTGCAGGCCGTCGCACTGCCGTAGGGAACAGTCCAATCATAAGACGGATCCCAATGCAGGCGTGGACGATTTTGAAAGCGAGAGGGAGTGGGAGCAAGGATGGGAGGCTCTTCAGGCGCTGGTGAAGGCAGCGGGGTTGCTTGTGGGGATGGAGGGGGCTTTGGGCGCCGAGATACCCTGGAAGCTCAGAGCGCGAGAGAGAATCCAGGATGTAGGGAAAGGGATCGCCTTCCCACACCTCGCCAGGTTCCAGAACCATAGCAGGGCCCGGAAAATCTGGAGGCGGGGGCGCGTCGCTCGGAACATACAAATGAACCTCGCCGGGCTGCAGCGTGTCTGGATGAAGAGTGGCGGCGAGATCCTCGAATAGGCTAGGACTCGCAGAACGACTTGGGACAAAGTCCACGTCCAAGTCGTCCTGCGCATCTGAAAATTCATTAGTATCTGGCCTAGACAAAATAAAACAATGTACCACGCACCGGTAAAAGCAGAAATACGCCGAATGAGACGAAAACCGCGAATGAATTGCAGTGCCCGAGCCCGCACCCATCGATCGCGCAGCGGACAGTCTCCTAGAGGCTGCGCAGCGATATACGCCCTCAACGCCGGCAAAGTCAACGAGTCGTGGCCATCCACTTCGAGAGGCGGCATGCGCGGCGGCAATCCCGGTAGCTCTGGCAGGGACACCAGATCCCAAGTCGATTCATCCGCGGGGTTGCATCAGGAAAGGCCCTATTGCATTTAAGCATCTCAAGATTAATGTCTTCATAACATGTAACTTAAGTCTGTAAAAGCACTTTAAAGCCCTGAAGATGTCTTAAAGCTGATGTATCATAGCACGAAACTCAAGACACTTAAAGACACTTAAAGACCTCTAAAAGTGCCTCTATGCCCATGCTCTGAATGCTTTTATCCTCATGCAGCTTAAGCTTCGAAGCATCATAGCTATAAACACAAGACATCATAAGACTTCTGAAGGCAACTCTATGCAAACATTTCAGACATGAGCTCTCAAAGACAACTCTTAGATATGTAAGGAATAGCAAGAGTTGTCGTGGGTCATGCATACAAGTATCTCAGGGTTTGCAGTCTCAACAAGAAAGGAAAAATAAGTGATATTCTACTACTTAAATAAAACATAAATCAGCGCACTCGGGGAGCGGCGACATGACCTGAGGATGCATGTGACAAGTAGAAATTCGTGCGGAAGTTGTCTTATTGACCATCAAATTCAGTTCGTTGAAGTAGGCTCAGCCCGCAAGAGAATTTCAGTGTGTGAGTTTACCCGTTGACAAGCTTCCGAATCATGATACTTGCACTGCTGACTGTGGAAGAAAGGGAGATGCTATTAGTACTGGACTGCAAATACTACGTCCAGGTTTTTGCACGGCGGAATCAATAAGGATCGGGGTTTTCGGTTTCTTGGACTGGGACAGCTATCATGACGCGACATGCATTTCTCGGCTGCGGTGAAATTGTCCTGAGATAGCGGTGATGGACGCGACGGTCGTGGATTCGTAGTCGAGGCAGATGACTGGATGGCGACTGGCGAGGAAGTGTGGTGGGGTGGAATACGGGATTGACTGGACACCGGTGAAGTCGATGAGGATGACCGTGACGAGGTTGGTGTTGAGGTCGCTGGCGAAGCAGTCCGAGCACGAACACTGCCGTTGGCCGACGGCACATGATAACCACTTTTGCCGTTTCGATTCCTGTTCGTGCGTGCGTCGAGGCAAACAGTGGATCAATTCGCGCTGGGAACCGACCTTCTTCCCGTCAATCTCAATTACTGTCCCAGATTCCTTCGACACCGCGGCCTTGGCCGCAGCGTAGTTCGCCTGGCCGACGTTCTCACCGATAGCATTGCGAAGGATGGGACAAGGTATCAGAGTGGGGAACATGTTTAGAAGACCCATGACCACGTTCGTCTATCGCAC